GGGGACCCAATTCCGGAGAATCGCAGGCCCTCGATCGAGGGTGGCCTGCACTCGGCCCTACATACCTGCGAGGACCGTGCTGAAGATGAAGAGCTCGGTGTGAGCCCAGAGATAGGCCGAAGGGCTTGCGCATCGCGAGGACCTCCTGGAGCACCTCGAGCCCCAGGCGGTCGGCGCGGGTCGACAGCGCGCGGACCTGCGCGCGCACTGCCGCGCGCTCATCCACCACCGCGGCCGCCGTCGGCGCACCTCCGCGCACGGGCGGGGGACGCCCGCACCATCCGCTCCAGCCGCCGCAGGTTCAGGTGCAGCTCTCCTTGAGCCACCGCGCCGCTGCCTCCTCACCACAGGAGGGGCCGCGCCGGCCCAGTGGTCGTTGGCGAGGGCCGCGGCGTCGTCGGCGGCCGAGGTCGCGGGGCCGTCGAGCGCCGTAGGCGCGACAGCGGCGAGTCCAGACTCCTCCTCCTCCTCCTCCTCCCTCCTCCTCCTCCTCCTCCTCCTCCTCCTCCTCCTCCTCCTCCTCCTCCTCCTCCTCCTCCTCCTCCTCCTCCCCCTCCCCCTCAGCAGCAGCTGGCGCCTCTCCTTTCTCCAGCGCCTTCCTCCCGCCTTGCGCAGACGGCGTCCGCGGCGCCGTCCCCACCGAGCCTCCGTGGAGACTCGAGCGCGCGCGGCCGCAGCGGGGACGCTCGGCAGATGAGGAAGAACAACTTGTCGATCAGCTCCGCGAGGCGTCACGCTCCGCGACAAACGCGGCCTCGACTGCCGAACGCGCCACGGCCGCGACCGTGCGCCGCGGTGTCTTGGCTGCCACAGCGCCGCGCACCACCGCCTCGACGATGGCACCAACGTCCATGGGAGCCCCATCGAGGCTCGCGCTCGCCGCGGGAGTGGAGCGCCGAGCTGTGCCATCGATTGAGCCAAAGTGGCTTGAGCCAAAAAGGCTAGGAGGAGGAGGAGGAGGAGCTGGAGGAGGGGGAAGAGGAGGAGGAGAGGAGGAGAGAAGGAGAAGAGGCGGAGGATGAGGAGGAAGAGACGAGCGTAGAGGAAGAGGAGGAGGAGGATCAGGAGGAGGAGGAGGAGGAGGATCAGGAGGAGGAGGAGGAGGAGGAGGAGGAGGAGGAGGAGGAGGAGGAAGAGAAAGAGGAGGTTGCAGGGCAGGACGATAAGGAGATGGAGAAGGGCAGAGCGAGGAGGGGGAGGAGAGTGGCCGCTCTGGCTCCAGCCCAGCCCGCTCCCGCTCCTGGTCCTCCTCCTCCTCCTCCTCCCCCTCCTTCCTCTCCTCCTCTCTCCCTCTTCTCCTCCCGCCTCCTCCTCCTCTCCTCCTCGTCCTCCTCCTTCTCCTCCCCGCCTCCTCCTCCTCGTCCTCCTCCTCTCCTCGTCCTCCCCGCCTCCTGCTCCTCCTCCTTCTCCTCGTCCTCCTCGTCCTCCTCCTCCTCCTCCTCCTCCTCCTCCTCCTCTTCTTCTCCTCTTCCTCCTCCCCGCCTCCTCCTCCTCCTCGTCCTCCTCCTCCTCCTCCTCCTCCTCCTCATCGCGACGCATGATATGGGTCTTTGTGTGCTCGAAGCTCGACACCGGTGCCCCCCCCCAGCCTACAGTCCCGGGTCCAGTCCTCCTACGTGCCATCCTCCCCTGTTGCTATATCTCGCCTCTTCTCGTCTCTTCCCTGACGACGTCGACAACAACCATGGGCCAGAATCGGAATCCACATCTTCAGGAATGTCAGCAGCTGCACACATGGAGCCTTGGGCGGATCTTATCAGGATGGCGACGCGGATGACAGAGGACCATCTACAGACGGCACATGTTGAATCATGGGTACGACAGCACAGTGGACGCTTAAGGTGATGGGCGTTAAGGATGGCAAGCATGTTCATCGAATGATGGGCTTCGCAAGCGTGCATAGGGATCTGGCGTTGTCTTCTATTTCAGCGCGTCGTCTTACTAGCGGACCAAGGAGACGTGAGGACGACGACATTCGTGAGTACATCAGCGCATGGGGCATCAGCAATTCGTGGTGACGTTGTGCGGCACAGCATGACAGGTGGAGTGCGTTAGAACAATGGTTTGTGATGATCAAGGATCATGTGTTGAGCCTTGCTTGATGCACTTGCGTGCCATTTCTGTTGTTACCCACGTATGTTGATGCAGTGACAACCCACTGAGTCTTCCAATGTGAGGGACTGCGTGTCCTATACACCTGCCCTCTTAGAGGAGCGCCTTTCGGGGCTGGAGTGCGGGCTTGGCTTGTCTTGTCTTGTCTTGTCTTGTCTTGCCTTGTCCTCTCCTCCTTTCTCATCCCCAGTCCTCCTCCTTCAATCCTCCCTCCCTTCCTCCTCATCCTTCTTCTCCTCCTCTGGCTCCCACTCCTCCCCCCTGCTTGCTGCGGCTCCTCCTCATCTCCTCCCTCCTCCTCGTCCTAGCCCATTCCCTCATCCCATCGTCCACCTTCTTGCTTCTCTCCTCCCGCCCAGCGTATCCTCCTCCTCCTCCTCCTCCTCCTCCTCCTCCTTCTCCCCCTCTTCCCCCTCCTCCTCCTCCTGCCCCTCCTCCTCCTCCTCCTCCTCCTCCTCCTCGTCCTCGTCCTCCTCCAACTCCCGCTCCTCTCCTCCTCCCTGCGGAGGGCGTAGCATAGAGAGCACATGCCCCGAGCACCACCTAGGCAAAGGGGCGGAGATCATAGATGGCAGAGTGAACATCGACAACGTTCACGGCGACTACGCCGGTGGGTGTTCCATCAAACACGATGGTCCCGAGGATTATCTGGGCGATGGCGCGGATATCGTCGATGGCAGAGTGAACACAGACAACGCCGAAGGCATCTACTCCAGAAGGTGTGGCATCAAAGACGATGGTCCCGAGGACCACCTGGGCGAAGGAACGGAGATCAAAAATGACAGAGTGGACTCCGACAACACCGAGGGCGTCTACTCTGGAGGGTGCGGCATCCAACACGATGGTCCCGAGGTCCACCTGGGCGAAGGCGCGGAGAACCACAGATGGCAGTGTGAACTCCCACAGCACTGAAGGCGTCTGCTCCGTAGTGTGTCGCATCAAACACGATAGTCCCGAGGATCACCTGGGCGAAGGCGTGCAGATCACAGATGGCAGAGTGAACTCCGACAGCTCCGAGGGCGTTTACACTGGAGGGTGCTTCATCGAGAGCGAGGGGCCCGCGCACCACCTCCGCGAAGGCGCAGAGATCGTGGGGCGGCACCGTGGAGAACGACAGTGCCGAGGGCGTTTACTCCTGAGGGTGTGGCATCGTTCCGACCAAAATCGATGGGCATTGCGCCCGACGAGGATGGCATTGCGCACAATATGGGCATTGCACCCAGAGCCGATGGGCACTGCGCCTAACGAAGAGGCCATTGCACGCGGTAGGGGCGTTGCCCCCAGACCTCATTGGCATTGCGCCCGACGAGGAGGGCCTGCAGTGAGGAACCCGCTCAGCTTCGCAGGTGTCGGCCAGCGCGGGGGCGAAGCGTGTGGCAGCGTCGCGGAGGAACAGGCCGGTCTCGCTCGCCCTGGCAATGGCCTCGACGAAGATACAAAGGAGGAGTCCGACGGCGAAGATCAAGAGAAGCAGCAGGGGGCAGCAGTGCTTGAGACACAATTCAGCCTCGCCTCTCTGAAATACCGCATGTCTCAAGGCGGCAGGCCGCTGCGACGACGGCTCGGCATCGTCAGAAAACTCTGTTCGGACAAGGGCTACGGCTTCATCAATGCCGCCCCCGGCACGGGTGATCGCTTTGTGCACGTCTCTAACAACGAGGATCTGCCCAACCTTCCGGGACGGTGACCAATGCACTTTCACCGAGGAGAGGGGCTGGGACAACCGCAGAGGCACATACGCCTGCTGTGCTTATCAGATTCGCGCTGAAGCCGACGGAGTTGGGCAGGGCCTGGAGGCTCGGCTGGCCTCCAGAGCAGCCGGCTTGGAGGAGACCCCGGAGGAGGACGCCATCGACCGTAGGTTGCAGGGCTTCGACCTGCAGGACTTACGTACGATCAGAAACTTTTGATTCGCGTGTCGCGAGCTTGTCACGCCGAGGCGTGGTGGGCCAGAACCGGCGGCGCGACGCGCTGCGCAAACGTTGCCGGGCCGCAGGGCGCTGGGTCCGGGCCGCGGACAGCGAGGCACACCGCCCGGGCGTCCTCTTGGCTGCGACGCAGCCGCTGATCGCGAAGAGCCGCGGGGGTAGATCCTCCCCCTCCCACTCCCCCTCCCCCCCCTCCTCCTCTCCTCCTCCTCCCTCCTCCTCCTCCTCCTCCTCTCCTCCTCTCCTCCTCCTCCTCCTCCTCCTCCTCCCTCCTCCTCCTCCTCCCTCCTCCTCCTCCTCCTCCTCCTCCTCCTCATCCTCCTCCTCCTCCCTCTCTCCTCCTCCTCCTCCTCCTCCTCTCCTCCTCCTCCTCCTCCTCCTCTCTCCCTCCTCCTCCTCCCCCTTCCTCCTCCTCCTCCTCCTCCTCCTCCTCCCTCCTCCTCCTCCGCCTCCCTCCTCCTCCTCCTCTCGTGGCCCTCGGGATGGCAGGCCTCGCGCAGCGGGGAGCCCTGCGGCACGGCACGGCGGGAGGCCGCCGCGGCAGTGTTCGACGCCTTCCTGCTCGGGGTCGCCGGCTCTCTCGGCCCCGTGTGGGCCCGCTCGTCGCTGCGGTCGCTCGTCGGTCGGGCTCGGCCGGGGCTGCGGGTCGGTGGCCCGCGGACGTCCTGAGCAGCGAGGCTTCCGGTCTTAGGTTGGGCCTGTCCCCCTACAGGGGGATATCGGGCGAAAAAGGAAAATTGACTCCCAAACATATTCCCCAACATGTTGATCAAACGATCTTTGAATATTCCTCCTGTAGAGGGACGGGCCCGACTTAATTCTGGTCATTCGTGAGACGGCGCCTTGGGGCGCTGCTGCGGCGGGAGGCCTCCTCCCGCCGCCCTCATTGTTCGCCTCCTCTCCCGCTCCTCCTACTGCCTCCTCCTCCTCGTGCCTCGCGCAAGGGGGCGCCAGCTTTTTGTTCTCTCTCGACAGATGACCGGGAGAGACAAGGCGTCACTGAGCGCATGCGATACTGGCTGCCTTCTGCAGCTGGTGCCTGCCTGGGCCCTCACTTACGAAGGGACGGAACAAGTGTCGTCAAAAACGCAGAGGAGGGTGAAGGATAGTACGTCAGAGGGGAGAGAGGAAACAGGAAGAGGGGGTCCGCACCCTTGCAAACACCACACCCGGGCATGAAAGAAGCGGGTCCAGAATCCTGAGGGAAGCGGGTCTTGGATCCTGGGGCCTTCCCTCGAGACCAACTTTCCCTCCTGAGTTGTTTAAAGGGGCCCTGGGACCAATCAATTCGTAGACACAAATTCGCTGGCCCAACGGGCCAGAGGCGTGCTAAGATCTCCGGTAACTGGTTAACAATTTTCTAGTTCGCGCGCGCGGGGCGGCCCCTGGGGGTCCCCGGACGAAAAGTACCCCGACCAGGTCCCGGCCGGGTCCCCCCCGAGCGCTCCATGAGCGCACCAACAGGGCTCCGAGACGTCCCCGAGAGCCCCAAGAAAGGCCAAGAGGCCCCCAAGAGGCCCCCAAGATGGTACACGAGGGGTCCGACATGCCACAAGATCGCTCCAAGACGCCCAAGATAGCCCCCAGACGCCCCAAGAGGCCTCCAAGAGCACTCCCAATAGGGCCCCCGGAGGCAAAAATCATTGTTTTTCCATAGGTTTTTGAGAGATTTTGGAGCTTCCACCTTTTCGGCTTCCCGACGCCCCAAGACGGCCCAAGAGGCCCCCAAGATCGCCCCAAGAGGGCCCAAGAGGCACCCAAGAGGGCCCCAAGATGGCCCAAGAGGGCTCGAAGACGGCCCAAGAAGCCTCCAAAACGGTCCAAGAGGGCCCCAAGAACGCCCCCAAAGGGGCCCCAGAGAGGGAACACGAAACAACATTTCGAGCCCTCGGCCCTAAGAAGCCCCTACGAGGCCCCTAAGAGGCCCCAAGAGGCCCCCACGGGGCCCTCAGGAGGCCCCCAAGAGTCCCCCAAGCGGCCCCAGGAGGCCCCCCAAATGCCCCCCCGAGCGCCCCAGGAGTGCCCCAAGCGGCCCCAGGAAACCCCAAAGCGCCGCATTGACACCAGGCCCTCGGGCAAACGGCAGACATGAGACTGTATGGGCCGGCGGAATGAGCGAAGCGATTAATAACAGGATCCCCCAAGTGTTCCCATATCTTCTGGGTTTTCGTCTTCCCCCCCCACTTCCCATATTTCCCAATATTTTCGGGGGAATCGACGATTCATTGTGTCTGTTTTTTTCGCTCCTGGTTGTTCTTGGGGAAATCATGGGGCCCGTGGGGGGGCCAGGGAGCCCGACAGAGGCAAAAGACCTCGGGACCCGTCTCTCTCTCTCTCTCTGGACCCGTTTGTTCCAGGGCGAAGGGGGACAGGAAGGGGTCCGCACCGACGCAAGCACCATGCCGTACAAACGCAAGAAGGCATCAACTATACCAGGACTCCTCCTCTTCTTCCTCTTCCTCCTCCTCCTCCTCCTCCTCCTCCTCTTCCTCCTCGAGACTGATGTCACGGTACGATTGGCTCAAGATGCGTTCCCAAAGTTTTGGAGTATCTAGCGGCCCTCGCTTATGGAGCCCGTGTGGACACTCAAAATCACAGAAGAAATCTTGGAACATCTTATTGGCATGCTTTCTTCGGAGGAAAAGCCAAAAACGGCATAAGCGTAGACTTTCGGAGGTCCACGCGGATTTCTTGCATCGGCGCTGGATCCCCTTCCTGGCGGACGGAACGCGACAGGAGCGGTGCCGCAGGCGCCGCCAGAGGGGGTCCAACGCCGATCCAAGAGCTCCGCGCGGAGCTTCGAAACTTCATGCTTGCGCCGTCCTGCGATATGGCGGCGTACACGTTGCAGCGCTGCCGACTTGCGGCGGCCATACATGTGCTTCTGGCTGGGCGGAAGTGGGGGATAGCAAAGGGGGGGTTTGAGAATCAGCTGACGTAGCTGATTCTCCTGGCGCCTACCGGCGCCAGGAGGCGCCCATGTATCGAGGAATGGGCCCGGCGGCGGGGCCGAAACCAGCTGCATGCAGCGGACTTCGTACCCCCCCTTCCCCTATCCCCCCCCCTTTCCTTCGGCCCGCGAGCTGGCGGGCATGCCGTGTGACCTCTCTCGGGGGCCCTCGGCGAGAGCCCTCGGGAGCCGCGACTAAGCCGGGGCGGCCCCGTGGCGGCCCCGCGACCCCACGGGGCTGCGTGGCCCCCGTGCTGTGGCCAGGGCCGCCGCCCCGGTGCAGCGCCCGTGCGGCGCGAACATCGTCGGCGGCGCCCTGCACACCGACATCGCCGGGCCCCGAGGGCGCCCACGCACGGATCCCATGGGCGGATGCGCGATGCCAGGAAGAGGAGAACTCCGGGCGAGGAAACATCGAGAAGCTCCTCCTCCTCCTCCTCCTCCTCCTCGTCCTTCTCCTCGTCCTCCTCCTCCTCCCTCTCCTCCTCCTCCTCCTGCTCCTCCTCCTCCTCCTCCTCCTCCTCCTCGTCCTCCTCCTCCTCCTCCTCGTCCTCGTCCTCCTCCTCCTCCTCCTCCTCCTCCTCCTCCTCTGAGATCCCGCAGCTCTGGAGGATGCATCGGGCGGCGCGGCCCTCTCGCAGCGCTCCGGAACGCTCTGGAACGGCACGGGCTCCTCCTCGTCCCATGGCCCCGCCCGACGGGCACCGGGGGCATCGGCACGGGGCCAGGGCTGGTGCTGGTGCCCGCCCGGCGTCTGGCCCGAGCCCGGCCATCCTCGTCCTTGCTTTATCCCTCCCTCCCCCTCGACGAGGGGGAGGGAGGGAGAGAGAAAGGAAGACGACACGACACGCTGGCCGCTGCACTATGGGGGGGCGAAGGAAGGAGCGACGGGGGAAGGGAGGGAGGGGGGGAGGGGTAGGGTAGCCACAAGCCGCCCGCCCGCCAGTGCTTCCCCCTCCTCCTCGCCTTCACTGGGTTTGGTCTGCCGATGCCTCCGCTAATATTGCAAACACTGGCTGCCCACCAAGTTGCTTACAGGTTGACGTTGGGACTTCTTATCCAGACCCAGGTCCAGATCCCGTCTCACGCCCCCCTCTCTCCTAGCGCCAGATCCGTTCGCCTTTGGAAGGCGGCTCTATCTGCGGGTGTCTGGAACACCGAGTGCCACCGTTTCCCGCCTTCAGCGGCCGTGGGGAAGCTTGGAAGGCTGAGTGACATGGTTAACAGCCTCCAATAATTGTGCGTTCGCCTGCAACGCTGAGTGTTGTCCTTGCACGCCTCCAATCATCGTGCGGAAACTTGGAGCGCAGAGTGCTGTCGCTGCCTGCCTCCAGCGAGCGCGCGCTTGTCTTAAGTGCTGGTTGCCATCGCTGCCCGCCTCCAGCAGTAATACGACGGGCTGAAGCGATGGGTGCCCAGGCGCGCTTGCCTCCCAAACAGCATTTTGTTTGCACCTATTTCCTGCTGGGCTATGTGCTAGGCTATACTTACCGCGACCGATGCATGGCTCAGCGTAGGAGAATCGCATGCCACCCACATCGCCGTGACAGAACAGGGCATGCGCTGGCGTCTTTCCTGTCGAAGAAGATCACCTGTTCAACGCCCCCAGCGTGGAGGCTGATGGCAACTCTACGCGTTGGCGGGCCGTGAAACGTGTATAGCACCCCCTGCCTGCTCAGAAGGTGCGCAACATGGCGGCTTGTTTGTATTTTTCCGCCTGGACCCTGCCCGCTGGTACGAAATCGCTACTAGTCTGCCGGAGGAGGCGGATGAAGAACGGCAGGGCTACAGGGACGACGCCTGCCGCTGCCTCTTACGATCTCCTGCCGCTTCGCTACACGTAGACGGGCGACCCCCATTGCAGAAGTAATGCAGCTCCTCGGACCGCGCCTTATGCCTTATGCTCCTGCTCCTGCGCCCCCTCCTTCCTCTTCCTGGAAAATAGAGTTGCCCAAACAATGCTTGCAAGTCGGTTTCCGTGCTTGCTGACAGGGTGGTCTTATGCGCCAGCAGATTGTTTGTTCTGCTGTCCTGGGTTCTTCCCCCCTTCTCGCTGGCATCCGGACGTGGGGCCCTATCGTTGGAGCCACGCATGGTAGGATCCCGCGCGATGGGGTCCAACACGATCGGGTCCTACCATAGGGTCGTCACGATGGGGTCCCTCGCGAGGGCCACTTACGATAGGGTTCCACTCAAAAGGGTTCCCACTTGGTAGACTCGACTCCCACACGTCAGGCTTGCACCTCACAGCGTGGACCTCGTAGACAACACTGCATGCATTGAGCCGCACAGACAGCAACCCAGATTGCACACCGTGTGTGGCACCGCACCGCTGAAGGTCCCAGCGGGGGTGCCCGCATGCGCTTCCCTAAACAGGGCTAGGATCGGGATAAATCGCTCTAGAGCGTTCCGGAGCGCTCTCAGAGCGTTCTGGAACGCTCTGGAGCGGCCGCGGCGCCCAATACATCCTGAGATTTCGAGTTATCCCGATCCGATTTTGTCCCGATCTTCGCGTCGTTTTATTCCCCCCACCCAGGGCAGCGTTTCTTCGTGGCCCCATAGGGAGCTCCACCGAAGGCCCCAGCGGCGTTGCCCGCATGCGATCCCCCCCGCCCAGCACAGCGTTTCGCGGCCCCGTGGGGAGCTCCACCGGAGGCCCACGCTGGCACTGTACTCGCGAAACTGGCTGCCTCGGCGGCGCGCTCAGTGGGGTGAAGGCAGACGGGGGCCTTCTCGGAGGGCTCCGACGGCCGCGGACTTCTGGAAGCTTTCTCCGGGCCTTCTCCGAAGTTGCAGATGGCTTCTCGGGAGGGCCGGAGGACTTCTGAGGAGACGGGCCGGCTTCTGAGAAGGCCTGCCCCCCTCTCACTGCCCCCCCTGGCGCGCCACCGATGGTGTCGTTTTTGAGACTTGACGATTCACAGTGGCGCTACGACCGCACCGTCGAACGTTGGGCTGGACGCTGCGAGAAATCCTTTCAAGGCGCAAGCGAGCGAGGATGACGAGAAAGGCGAGGAGAGCATGAACAAGGGGAGCGAGGATGAGGAGGAAGATCAGGACGATGAAAAGAAGGTCACGCCCTAATCATCGATGTGCCCAACGTCGGCGGAAAACGACAGGTCATTATGACCTCGCCTCGCGCCGAAGCAATCGCGCATATCTCGCTGCATGCGACTCTACCGGCATTAAACAGCGAACCATGCACGACATCCAAGAGCACGGCGACTTCGTATGAGAAGCGTCAGCAAAACATCTTACCATGCGGACAGTAAAACCAGGAACGAGTTAAGAAGCCAACGCGGATTGACACCTAGTGTGGATAACAATTGCATGCCGGACAAAGACCAGTCAAATCAGTTTTTGTTTTCCAGCGCACCACTCAAGAGCTGGCGCCTCTTGTAAAGCTCCTTCATCTTTTGTGAGAGTGCTACCAACTCGGCGTCAATTTTTGCGATATCGTCCTGCGGAGTTTCAGGCTCCTCCGCGATGGGCTCCACTTCTCTGAAGATGTCCTCGAGGGGAGAGGGAGGGGAGGAGGGAGAGGACGATCATTTACCAAGCTTGCAGGTCTACGAGTGGGCGGGCCGCCATCAGTCAGTCCTTCGAAACTGTTTACACATCGGGCCCCATGGACTGTCGGGAACTGCTGCTTAGCGTGTCGCGTCGGCAGCCGCGGCGACACGCCATGCCGTGCAAATGGATAACCAACGTGTCGCTCCGCTCCGCGGGGCGGGGGGCTCGGAAAAGCTCAGGACGTTGAAGCCTGGGCGCCAGGGAGTGGATAGCATGTCGCACCGAAGCGCGGTGGGCCAGAACTGGCGGAGCGACACGCTATCCAACAGCTCCCGACCGTAGCACCCTTTGCTTGGGGAGAAGCCCCGCTCGATCCCTGGGGACGCCCTCCCCATTGTAGCCTGCAGCTGGGGGATGATAGCGAGGGCGTTATTTTCTACCAGGAGGAAGAAGAAAATGGCGAGGAGGAAGACGAGGGGGGGGGGGGGGACGAGGAGGAGGAGGGGGCGGAGGAGGAGGAGGAGGAGGAGGAGGAGGAGGAGGAGGAGGTCCTGACTGTCAGCCCCCCTCCCGATGGCGAAACTTGGGAGTGGCGACCCCGAAAGGTCTCTTCTGCAGGAGGCAGACGAGGAGGACCGGGGAGAAGACAAAAGGAGGAGACGGGCGTGGAGGGGGCAGGGGCAAGCGGAGGAGGATGGGGAGAGGGAGGAGGACTGGACCTGAACCCTAGGAATCCAAATGCTCCCTCTGCCGACGGACGGACCTGACTTCGCAAGCATCACTGCCGAACCATCGAAGGACTCTGAGACGCACAGTGTGCTACTACGGTAGGGGCACTGCAACAGGAACCCTTAGACAAGGAATCCAGGGTCTGGCAGCCAGTGGAACTCCAATCGTGGATCGGCCATGGATATCACCGCCGCCCTGATTGGGCAAGGAATCCTCCGGGGTTTGGCACCTCCAGGGACTACTCCTTTGGCAAGCGCCTCCACCGTACCTGACGCTCAGCCCAGCACCGCCCTCTGCAGAGCAGCACTGGACCCGGCCACGCGCCAGCCTGCGGGCATGCAGCCCTGCGGGCTGGGCCCCTCGGGCGCGGGACGCGTCTTCCCCCTCCGTCCGTGGAGCCCCTGCAGACTTTTGAGACGAGTGCACGCGGCGCTGAGGCGAGAAGCACCTCTTGAACAGGAGCTGCCTTCCGTCCGTGCAACTCGTGCAAACGTTCAAGACGAACGTGCGCGGCGCTACAGCGAGAAACACATATTCAGAAGGAGCCGGCTTCCATCCGTGAAGCTCTTGCTAGCTTGAAAACGACTGTGCGGGGCGCTAACGCGAGAGACGCATTCTGAAGGCGAGTGCGCGCGGCGCCAAGGAGAGACCCACATCTTGAAAATCTCTGGCCCTCCATCTGTGAAGCTCGTGCAAACCAAAAAACGAATGCGCCTGGCGCTGAAGCGAGAACCACAAGTTGAAAAGGACCCGCCCTCCATTCGCGAACCTGATTGTAGGCTTCATGATCACAAATGCGTAGGACGTCTCAGGCAAAACGCCCAGTGCGCCTCACCGACCTGTCTCGGGGTGCGACAGGGAGGAATTTGATTCATAATGGAACCCCTCCCCCGGGAGCCCGGTCCGGTCGATTTGGATGGGGGGGCCGTCCGGCCAGAGCTAATCAGCGGGGTCCGGCCCTTCCCGGGCTCCTTTGGAGGTCCACGACAGCTTCTGGTGCCGCCCAAGAGGCCCCCAAGACAGTCCAAGAGGGCCCCGAGACGCCGAAAGATCGCTCCAAGACGCCTAACATGGTCCGAAAAATCATCCCAAGATGCCTAACATGGGCCGAAGACGGGCCAAGAGGCCGCCAAGACGTTCCAAGAGGCCTCTCAGGAGGCCTCCAAGAGGAGCAAATCTTCAAATTTCCTTAGGAAAACGTGCATGACGTCCTCAGATTTCCCCTCAGAACGTCCTAGACAGCCTCAGAGCCTCTCAAAGCCGTCCCAAAACAACCTAGGAAGCCCCCAAGCAGACTCAAGGTGCTGAAGAGGCCACCCAGCCACGTTGCCCACGGGACCCCATGACCCATCAGGGTGGCCTCGGACCCACGAACCAAGCACGATGGCGGGATGACCCGAACGCAACAGATCGAAGGTTAGGGGTGTCTGACCGCAAGTGATCCCAACCAAGACATCGGTTTCGGTGTCGGTTCATGTCGTGGATGGGGTTCTCCCGATGGTTGTCCCGATGGTTGTCGGGATCGGTATTGCCCTACGAGACCCCAGGACCGTCGGAGATCGATCGGAGATGAAGAACTGCACCGGATGGACCACGGGAGCGGCCCTGGGCTGGACCCCTGAGGCCTCCAAGAGGCTCCCCCAAAAGACCCCAAGCACAAAGAGCGAAACATATATTTTCAGCAGGTTCGCCTTTTGACACCAGGAGGGCTCCAAGACGGCAAAGGGACCACCAGGAGAGCTCCAAGACGGACAGAAAGACTCCAAGTCAGCCGGACGGAGAACCGGAACGGACACTTCGAACCTTCGGCTCCAAGACGCCCCCAACGTGCCCCAGGGCCCCCCAGGAAGCCCCCCCAAAAAACAAAGGGGTCGGCGGTGTGGCGTAAGCCTGGGAATGATATTTATAACAGAAAGGGATGGAGGTCTGAGGTCTGAGGAGGAGGGGTACCTGCAGACGCCCGCACCCGCACCGGCACCGGCACCCGCGCCCGCACCGCGGAAGAGAAGGAGGAAGAGGAGGAGGAGGAGGAAGAGGAGGAGGAGGAAGAGGAGGAGGAGGAGGAGGAGAAGGAAGAGAAGGAGGAAGAGGAGGAGTAGGAGGAGGAGGAAGAGGAGGAGGAAGAGGAGTCCTCCTCCTCGTCGGCGCTGTCCCGGTCGTGCTCGCCAGATGGCGCGAGCCACACCGGGGAGCCGGAGGCGATCTCGTGGTGCGTCTGAAGCCCGTGGGCAGAGAGGGAACCGTAGGGGATCTTCCGAGGCCTCGCACGCTTGCCGCCCCGCCTCCTCCTCCTCCTCCTCCTCCTTCTCCTCCTTCTCTAACTCCTTCGCCTCCTCCAACTCCTCCTCCTCCTCCTCCTCCTCCTCCTCCTCCTGCTCCTCCTCCTCGTCCTGCGTCTCCATATCCTCCTCCTCCTTCTCCTCCTTCTCCTCCTCCTCCTCCTCCTTCTCCTATTCCAGCTCCGTTGCCTCCTCCTCATCTTCCTTCGCCTCCTCCTCCTCCTCCTTGTCCTCCTCCTCTTTCTCCTCCAATGAGGGGCAACGTTAGGGGGGACTAGCTCATGGTGGGAAGCATAAGCCTGGAATCGATGATACATCGCCGATAGATCGGCGATAGGCCCCGATATCGAGCCTCACTGTCCTGAGCGGAGTAAGCTATCGGGCCCCTATCGGCGATGAAGGCGATTTGGGGTCGACGCATCCCCCTCGTAAGCCTACCCCCCCTTCATGTTGCCCTGATCCAACTCCTCCTCCAACTCCTCTTCCTCTTCCTCCTCCTCCTCCTCCTTCCTCGCAACCTCCTCCTCCTCCTCCTCTTCCTCCTCCTCCTGCTTTTTCTCCTCCTCCTTTTTATGTTCCCCCTGTTCCTCCTCCTCCGCTCCCGTACGGATCGGTCGCGCTCAGGGGTTGCCCGCGCCTCCTCCTCCTCCTCCTCCTTTGCTGCCAAGTCTTGCCCTCGATCCTGAAGTGTTCAAGGGAGAAAATCGTGGACGTGCTTGGCCCTTGTCGGTCTACGGAGGCCTGCGGGAACCTCGGGGGACCTCTCGGGAACCTCGTGGGGTCAGGATCCGGGGCGAGAGCAAACGATACCCCCTCTTCCATCACTCCTCCTCCTCCTACTCCTCCTACTCCTCCTCCTCTTCTTCTTCTCCCTATCCTCGTCCTCCTCCTCCTCCTCCTCCTCCTCCTTCTCCTCCTCCTCCTCCATCCCTCTTCCTTACAAGTTCGGAGGCCCAACTGGCCAGAGGCGTGCTAAAATCTCCGGTAACAGCTGAAGTATCTAAGTAGTTCGCGCGCGCGTGGCGGCCTCTGGATTTCCCATATGGAAAATATCCCGACCGCACTTCGGTTATTCTTGGGTCAGAGATGGTTCTGCTGGTGGATGCGGCTTCCCAGGCCCCCCAGAGCGTTCCAAGAGCGCCTCAAGGGACCTCCAAGATGGTCCGAGGCGGTCCAAGAGCGCTCTAAGACACCCTAGAGAATCGCTGGATGGCCTGGGACGCCCCTGAAACGTCTCAAAAGAGCCCCGGAAGAGGCCCCAAAGGCTCTGGTGGCAAAAACTATAGATTTCGCTTTGGTTTTGATGATTTATGTGCTTTCGCCTCTTCGTATCTGCGGCCTTCCAAGGCGGCCCAGGAGATCTCGAACATCACCCCAAGACAGCACAGGACACTCCCAGGAGAGCCTCAGGATGACTCAAGAGGGCCTCAATAGGGCTTTTGACCCTCCAAGAGGGCTCAAGAGGCCCAGCAGACGGCCCAAAAAGATCAATCCGACCTGCAACTTAGAGCCAGCTCCCCAGAAGCTGGCCCTCGACACCGCCAGCAAGCTCCCAAGGCGCTTCCAAAAAGGCCCCCAGAGGCTCCCAAGGGGCTCTCCAGAGGCCCCCAGAGGTTCCGAAGGCACCCCCGAGAGGGCCCGCGAGACCCCTGAGAGACTCCAGAATCCCGCCACGATGCTCCCCTGCAGCTCCGCACCGCAGACGAACACCTCGGCCAATCGACAGCGTGCGACAATACGGGCTGGCGGAGTGAGCAACGCGATGGAATTCGGCGGGCCCTCTGCGGGCCCTGGCCTTGTTGTAGGCTCCGAGGGTAGATGATGAGATGGAGGATGATGGAGGAGAGCGAGAAGCATGCGTAAGGCATGCTGAGATGGCTTCGTCCATTCCGCTGGCCGATTCTCTTGGGAGACGTAAGCATACGCGTGGTCGGCGCTCACAGGGCTGGCCCCAAAGACTCCTTGGTGCCTCCTTTTGGCACACGCCTAACGCATGTCGTGCCCCAAGTGACTACCTACCAGACCACCCCAACCCAACCTGAAGACCCGAATTTCGGGTTGGGGGGGGTAAGGGTTCCACATGTGTGTTTTCGATGTTTCCCGACCCCCCCCCACTGGAAATCGAGGGTAAATCTGAGCCTTCGGGTTGGGTTGGGGTGGTTTGGTGGGTGGTGACCAAGGACCTCCAGGGGCGATCCGCTGGCCCTCAAGACGGCCAAGGTGAGCCTCAGTGCGGCACACTCCTCGCGCACTTCGCACCTCCTGGACTCCCGGGGGCCCTCAGCTGACCCCTCAGACGGCTCAGGGAGGCTTCGATTCGGCACACCCCTCACGCACTTCGTGGCCCATGGATCTCCAGAAAGGCCTTCTGTTGGCTCCGAAGACCGCCTGACCCCCAAAGGGACACCAATATGGCCCTGAGACAAATTGCAACGAGTGTTCCGATCCTCGTCAAAGACGTTCCCGGAACACCCGCTGATTGCAACGTCTGCGCGCGTGTTTCCCTCTGGGGGCCCGCCGTGACTCTCGCTCTGCGGGCTCAATAACTCATCCCTGTCGCACCCCGAGACGGGTCGGTAAAGAGGCCTCGAAGACCGCCCAAGAAGGCCCCAAGAGAGGTCCCAGGGGGGGTACACGAAACAACATTTCGAGCCCTCGGCCCAAAGAAGCCCCCAGGAGTCCCCAAGAGGCCCTAAGAGGCCTCAAGACGCCCCCAACAGGCCCTCAGGAGGCCCCCAAGAGGCCTGCAAGCGGCCCCTGGAGGCCCCCCAAATGCCCCCCCGAGCACGCAATCAAGTGTCAACGACCCGACGCGTTTAAGAGTCCCCAAGAGGCCTTCCGAAAGAGTCCCCATAAGCAAACGCTTCCAGACGGCCCGCGACGCGTTCAAGACTCCCCGAGCGGCCACCAAGAAGCCTCACATGCCGAACGCAAAGCCTGATAAAAAAAAAGCCACCGCCCCTGCAGCTCCGCACTGCGAAAGACCACTCGGTAAGTCGACAACGGCGCGCAATATGGGCCGGCGGAAAGAGCGAATTGATTCAATAACTCTTCCCTGCCGCACCCCGAGACGGGTCGGTAGGGCAGGCCAAGCGTTTCGACGGAGCCTTACTCAACATGTACGGTCCTGAAGCTGAACATGTGTAGCAGTTTCGCGAATGGAGGGCGGGTCGTTTCCACAGTGTTTGCAAGAGTTTCACGATTGGAGGGCGGGTGGCTTTCACAGTGTGGCTCTCGCCTTAGCGCCGCGCGTATTCGTCTTACCAGTTTGCAAGAGTTTGACAGATGCAGGTCGAATCGTTTTCAAAATGTGACTCTCGCCTTAGCTCCGCGCGCATTCGTTTTAAGAGTTTGCAAGAGTTTCGCGGACGGATTGCGGCCCCTTTTCAAAGTGTGGCTCTCGCCTCAGCACCGCGCAGTTTCGTCTTAGCATTTTACAACAGTTTGAAAATTCTTTCCGCTGGCATCCCCGAAACTGTGTATTGGCACGATTTAGTGTTGTCAGGTCGCGACGTTCACGTTGATTCGCGGTGTTGACGTCCTCGTCAGGTCGCAACAGTCACGTTGATTCGCGGCGTTGAATTCCCAGGAATGGTACTTTGGCACGGTTGAAGATTTTCGCACGGTCGTCTTCCCACGGGGCTCTGCCCGCAGTGAAAATAGATCCTGATAGGAGCCTGTGAAGAGGGAACTTGGAGAGAAGGTTGATTGCAACATCGTTGATGAGTCGTGGGTTTGCACTGGTCCTGCTCCCTCCTCCTCCTCCTCCTCCTCCTCCTCCTCCTCCTCCTCCTCCTCCTCCTCCTCCTCCCTCTCCCTCCTTTCCGCTTTCTCCCTTCCGAGGAAGCCTGGCGTCACCGGTCCGCAGCGTTGCGGTGGCTTTTTTGGTGCTCGGAGGGAACCGCTCGCCAGCCGTCCAGAGGGACATCTCGAGACCCGCGCCTGGCCCCATGGTGACGAAGAGGCCGAGATCACCGCAGTGCACCTTCTTGGACTTCACCAGCTTGTCGAAAACAAACAGGATGGAGCAGGACGACTGGTTGCCATAGTCCCGGAGGGCCCCCACAGTGTACGGGAGGGTGTCCTCGGGCCTGCCCTCGAGCCCCAGGGCCGTGGTGACGTTGTCCAGGATCGTCTGTCCGCCGGTGTGCGTCAGCACGTGGTCGGCGTAGTGCACGGGGATGTCCGCATACAGTGCCAGGTGCATCATGGTGAAGAGACCCTGGGAGACGTGGTAAGGCGCGAGCTCGGACAGGTCAAACCGATACTTACCCTCGGATGGCTCCACTTGGTAGGTCATATCTGGAAGAGCCGCTGTGTCGCACAGCGCCGTCCACCACTGCGGCGGAGCGTCGAAGTATGCTGGCTTTGACTCCACCTCGTCTGGCGGCGAGCAGTACAGCACCGTCGCGAAGCTCCCATCTCCGAAAAGCGAGTTGCAGACGACGTTGTTCAGGTTCTTCCTGGGGGCGTCTCCCCCCTCTCCTGCTCTTTGCCCTGCTCCTCCTCTCGTCCTCCTCCTCCTCCTCCGCCTCCTCCTCCTCCTCCTCCTCCTCCGCCTCCTCCTCCGTCCTGGAGACGTCGCCCCACACGTACTGGGCGGACATGACCTCGCAGCCGCAGGCCAGCGCATAACAGCCCGGGTTCGCGATGGCCCACGCGGCCGCGGACTTCAGGCTGTTGAGGCCCGCGTGGCAGCCCATGCCCACGATGTTCGGGTCGGGCGAAAGGGGGGGATAGCAAAGGGGGGGTTTCAGAATCAGCTCGTGTCGCTGATTTTCCCGGCGCCTCCCGGCGCCGGAGGCGGCTACGCATTGAGGAATGGGCCCCTCGGGGAGGCCGAAACCAGCTGCATGCAGCACATTCCGTAACCCCCCCTTTCCCAATCCCCCCCTTTCGCCCGACCCGAGATGTCGCAGCGGCACACGCACTGTGGAATCCCCAGGTCCGGGTCTTGCACGACGTAGGCAGACAGGCCTGGGAGAAGGTAGCCAGAGCTGCTGACGATGGAGACGTGGCCGACGTCGGCTCCAGAGATGTCGGCGTCCGCGAGCGCCGCCGTGATCGAGTCGTGCAGCATCTTCTTCGCCCAGTGCAGATGCTTCTCGTGCAGCCGCTCGAGGTTGACCGAGGCTGGGTCCGCCAGATCCCTGCCTCAGAAACGCGGCGGGGGAAAAAGGGGTGTGCAGCCCCTGCGGCAGGCATCACACGCCTTCGCCAGTGAGCCTCGTCGAAGACATGAGCGATCGAAGCCCTCGGATACGCAGACATCCGGCTGCTCTCCAACTTCTTCGGTGAGAGAACCCTGGAGGTCCGGGCCACTTCCCGGGGGCCGGCTTTTCGCCATGACCATGAGTCGTCGTTGTTTGATGCTCCCCAGGTCCGGCGAGGGCCCCCAAATGCCGAAAACGGCCAACATGATCGACCTACAAACCCGTAATGTGAGGCATGGCAACGTTTTCAAGACACCTGATTGAGCGACGGGCAATTGCAATGCTAAGTGTATCGATCTTGATGCACCGTGCGAAGGGCTGAACTGTGCTGTGCCGTGCTGAATTGCGATGTGCCGCGCCGCGACTGCGCTCTACAGCGTTGCGGATCGAGTCCTCCTTAGCATCGGAGTCCTGACCGAACTGATCTTGATCTTAAGTTCGAGCTGCCTGAGCACATAGTAGCTGCCCTAACGCTAATTGAAATGGAAACGTGGAGGACATTCGATCAACTCGCCCTCAAAATCCAGCTCAGCTCCGAAAAGGAACGACACGACACGGGGCACAGGCTCACGGACGCGCCACAGGATGTGCCAGGAGCGCAATAGGGGATGCGCCAGGGGAGGTGTCAGGGAACGTATCCGGGGACGTGCCCTGGACGTGTCAGGGACCTGCCACGCGACGTGCCGAGGCGCGTGCCATGGGGCGGCCAGAGGATGTCATGCCAAGGGACGTTGCAAGGGACGCGCCACAGAACGGGCAAGGAAACCCCTGGGGACGAGCCAGGAAACGCGACAGAGGAGAAGCCAGGGAAAGTGCCACGCCGAGTGGTGTGCTAGGGCACGTGCCAGGGCACGTCACGCCAGAATGTCGCACGGGACGCGCCAAGGGACGCGCCATCGCGCTAGGGCACGCCCCACTAACGGGCGGGGTTGGACTGCGACGCACTCTTCGGCGGCAAGCGTTTCGCTCGAGACATCCTCAACAATTCCTCATACTAGACATCCGCCCGGGCAACATGGACACGTGAAAACAAGCGTCTCGCTCGAGAGATTCTCAACACATCCTCATGTTAGACATCCGCCAGGGTGACCTGGACACGTGCAACCAAGCGTCTCGCTTGAGACGTTCTCGACACCTCCTCATGCTAGACATCCGCCTGAGCAACCAAGATTCGTGAACACAAGCGTTTCGCCAACGACATCCCGCCCAACTCCTGATGCTAGGGATCCGCCTGGGCGACCTGGACACGTGAGAACAAGCGTTTCGCTCAACGTATCCTCAACACATCCTCATGTTAGACATCCGCCTGGGCGACCTGGACACGTGAAAACAAGCGGTTCGCTCGAGACATGTTCAACACATCTTCATCTTAGACATCCGCCTGGGCGACATGGGGACATGAAAACAAGCTTTTCACGTGAGACGTTCTCAACACATCCTCATGCTAGACATCCGCCTGGGCGACCTGAAATCTGGAAAAAAAACGTCTCTCTCTCTGTCTCTCTATCGAGACATCCTCCGCACATCCCCATGCTAGACATCTGTCTGGGCGACCTGAACACTGGAAAACAAGCGTCTCTCTCGATACATCCTCAACACATCCTCATGCTAGACATGCGCCTGGGCGACCTGGACACGTGAAAACAAGCGTCTCGCTCGAGACATCCTCAACACATCTTCATGTCAGACGTCCGCCTGGGCGACCTGGACACGTGAAGACAAGCGTTTCGGTCGAGACCCCTTGAACACATCCTCATGCTAGACATGCGCCTGGGCGACCTGAACACTGGAAAACAAGCGTCTCTCTCGATACATCCTCAACACATCCTCATGCTAGACATCTGCCTGGGCGACCTGGACACGTGAAAAAAACAAGCGTCTCGCTCGAGACATGCTCAACAAACCCTCATGCTAGACATCTGCCTGGGCGACCACAAGCGTCTCGCTCGAGACATGTTCAACACATCTTCATGTTAGACATCCGCCTGGGCGACATGGGGACATGAAAACAAGCTTTTCACGTGAGACGTTCTCAACACATCCTCATGCTAGACATCCGCCTGGGCGACCTGAAATCTGGAAAAAAAACGTCTCTCTCTCTCTCTGTCTCTCTATCGAGACATCCTCAGCAAATCCCCATGCTAGACATCTGTCTGGGCGACCTGAACACTGGAAAACAAGCGTCTCGCTTGAGACGTTCTCAACACCTCCTCATGCTCGACATCTGCCTGGGCGACATGGACAAGTGAAAACACGCGTCTCGCTCGAGACATCCTCAATACCTGGGCACATGAAAACAAGCATTTCACCTGAGACATCCTCTGAGTTCTGGTCCCCAGGAGAGGAACGATCTATAACACAAAAGAAACGCTTCGCTGGAGACGTCCTCAACAAATTCCGCAAAACAAGCGTATCGCTCGAGACATCCGCAACAACTGAGCATGTGTACTTCACCATGTGTTTGATCGAGCGGAATAGCGAGAAGCAGCGTTTCGCTAGGAACATCTTCAACTATTCAATTCGCCGGCCCTGCGCGACCTCGCTAGTCATAGCAGAGCAACGCCGCCGGCCCTACGCAAGTCGAGGCCAAGGGTTTAACCAAGGGAAAGAACAGCCTGGGCCCGAGCCCTCTCCAGGAAACACCGCCTTGGCTCAAGTTCCAGGCTCGAGCAAGCTTAGCCAGCGAGTTCACACCCAGGGTCGGCAGAGTCCTGGGCGGGCCTTTTTTGTCCCGTGTCACGTACTTCCAGCGAGTACAGCAGGAGAAAAGCATTGATCGTTGATCGTTGTGATCCTTGTGATCGTTATCGTTATCGTTGCGATCGTTATCGTTGTCATCGTTATCGTTATCGTTTTCTTGGGGGGGGCGTCGGATCCCTGGGGATACGCGCGAGGCTGGATCCTGGGCTATCATCCGCTCCTGCGGCAGGCCGCCGAGAAGCGACCCCCACACAATCCCGATCCACACTCTGGAGTCCCGACACGGTGCGGTGACGGACCGTGCGGTGACCTCGAAATCCCTCCCTCCTCCCTCCTCCCTCCTCCCTCCCTCCTCCTCCGCCCTCTCCCTCCTCCCCCCTCCCTCCTCCGCCCTCTCCCTCCTCCCTCCTCCCTCCTCCCTCCTCCCTCCTCCCTCCCTCGCCCTCTCCCTCCTCCCTCCTCCCTCCTCCCTCCTCCCTCCTCCTCCTAGACCTCACCGCAAGGTCCGTCACCGCACGGTCTTGGGGCCTCGGAGGCCCCTGTCGCCCGAGGCGTCCTCGGAGAGGGACCCGAGTCCCGAAAACGTGCGGTGACCCCGAATCCCCACCGACTCACCACACGGTGTGGTCACCACGCCGTTTGGGAGCTCCCGATCCACACTCTGTGCCGCGAGGGACGGAGGAAGCCAACATCATTGATTTTACTGCGGTTTTGGCCCCATTCTGGCCTTCTGAGGGGGCGACTGTAATCCGTACCCCCCCTTCTTTGATCGATCTCCTCCGAGATGGCCCCAAGAGCGCTCCCAAGGCTCTCAAGGGTGCCCCAAGATGGCCCCCAGAGGTGGCCAGGAGGCCCCAAGAGGCCCCCAAGAGGCCCCCAGGATGACCCCAGAGGACCTCCAAGAGACCTCCAAGAGACCTCCAAGAGGCCCCCAGAGGCCCCCCCAGAGGCACCCAAGACGCTCCAAGAGGCCTTGGCTATAATGTCAAAATCGCTGGTTTTACTAAGGTTGTGGCCACATTTTGGCCTCCTGGGGGGGGGCACTGCTTCAGATGACTCCAAGAGCGCCTGGGAGAGCCAAAGATGATCTCCAAAATGGCTCAAGATATCCCAAGATGCCTCAAGATGGCGCCCACGATGCTCCAAGAGGCCCCAAGACCGCTCCAAGACGGCTCCAAGTGGCCAAAGAGCTCCCCCAGGAGGCCCCGAAGAGGCCAACACCCTTCCAAAACCTTAGGAAAATCAATGTTTTTGGTTTTCTCGCCAAGGCCTCCAGATGGCTCCAAGATGGCCCAAGAGGGCTCCAAGACCGCTCCCAAGGCTCCCAGAGCGCTTCAAGAGGGCCCCAAGAGGCGTCCAGGATGCCCCAGAGGCCTCCAAGAGGCTCCCAAGAGACCCCCAAGAAACCCTGGGCACCCAAGATGCTCTAAGAGGCGTCCGGAACCACCAAGAGGCCCCCAAGACGCTCCAAGAAGCCTCCACTGGAGGGCCCTTCCTCTGTGTGCTGCCAGCTTCCCTGATCGAGGCCATTCCTGTGGGCATCGTTTCTGGATGGGCTGGTGGGGATTCGCGAAGCGCCAACAATTCGACTTCACATCGTTTTCTATTGAGGACAACGGGGGTCCGCGGACCCCGTTATTTATCGAGGATCCGAGGTGGGGGTCGACTTTCCTCGAGCGGGCACGCGCGAAACGCATTTGTTTCACGCCGAATTTGACTTTACCTCGTTTTCCATCAAGCGGAAATTCGCCGGCCCTACAGAAATTGGCACCGGGGGAATTACCTGGTAAAAGAACACCCTGGGCCTATGCCCTTTCCGAAAAAAAAAGTCAAACAAATACTACCCCCCAAATCCTCAAACATAGTCAACATGATCGACCCACGAACCCGGAAAGGAATATAGAACTGTAACACATGGCAGCGTTTTCAAAGACACCTGATTGGGTGACGGGCAAATGCAATGCTGAGTGTATCGATCTTGATGTACCCTGCCGAGGGCTGTGCTGTGCTGCGCCGTGCTGAATTGCGATGTGCCATGGCGCGACTGTGCTCTATAGCCTCGTGGATCGAGTCCTCCTTTGCATCCGAGTCCTGACCGAACTGATCTGGATCTTAAGCTCGAGCTGCCTGAACACATAGTAGCTGCCCCAGAGCTAATGGACAGGGGAACATGCCAGGAGGACGCGCCGCGAAACGTCCCAAGGGATGCGCCAGGCGACGTGCCAGGGGACGTGCCATGGG